GGAGAGATGAAGGACACTGACTCCAGACACCTGCTTGGTAGCTCCTTCTCGACACCCACTGCTGAGAGCACCCTCTTCCCAGGATGGGAAAGCCAGGAACACCACACACAGCACAATGATCTTACCCAAAATCATTTCTTCTTAGCACATTGCTCCAGTTTCCTTCTGTGAAGGCTGTTCCAGAACACCCCGCAATGGCCATGGATTTTGGGGATGAGTCAAAACGAGAATGGGACAGGAGACTTTGGGTCTCAAACTAAAAAGGAAATGGTTCTAATCATGCTCCTCATGGAAGGATGATGGTGAGCAGGTTGGGATGCAGGACAGGATACACCGAGTGCAACACTCAAACACTGTGCTAGGGACTGTGGCAAGTGCTGCAGCCAAACACAAAAATATCAGCTGCTTCTTCGTGCCTTATTAACCACGCGTTACAAAATATTCGTTCAGGATATCATCACATTCTGGTTTTTCCCCCCAGGATTCCCGTGTTTGCCACCACACAGGATGACAGAACTCCAGCTGCTCAGGACTGGCATTTCACCACCCAGCATGTGCTCCCCGGCTACTTTAGAGAGGGGCCGGCGAGCCAAGCTCCCCGCTAGCCCCATCACAACGTCCTCACCTACGTGCTCCTGGTGCTGTGCTCTGCCACATCCAGGCTGGTCCCTTTCCCAGCAGCCCAGGCACTCGGGAAAAGCCTCTTTGCTTTCTGTCCTGTGGCCCAGAGCCACGGAACAAACCAGCCTTGGGAAAATGCTGCCCAGCCCTTGTGTTCTGGAGACTCGTAAACCGAAAACACAGAGTTCAGCCACCACACCAACAAATATCTATTCAGTTTTCCAAGGCTAAAAAGTCAGTTTAATTTGGTTCCCTATGTCAAGAACACTGTCAAACCTCCCGTCTCAAAGTCCTTTTTCAGAGAACAGAAGGTTCATGGGGTTTTCAACAAACTTTTGGCATTATTTCAATGTAAAATCCAATTACTTTTCCAGTCATCCCATCCTTATGAAAGTCATGGCCATCTTTACCAGAATTCATATTGAAAAATCATTGATTAATTAAAGCCTGGTAATACTCTAAGCCACTGTAAAAAATTAATCATATTATAGGAAATGTTGAGCAATCTTGGTTTTCTTATATAGCAAAACCTAAAAAAAAAAAGAAGAAAAAGCAAGATGCTCCACAGACTGGAACGGGGCCTCTAGAACAGGCACTTCTTTGCTTTGTAAACTCAGATTTTTTCAGCACAAAAAGTAGAGATGCTCTATGGGAGCCAGTCTGAACCTGCTCGTGATGTGGTACTCATATATATGCTACAGTTATTGCCCTAAGATATGGAAATCAATTAAAGGTAAGAAATTAGAACCTAAATATAACTGCTTGATGTGACGGTCTGATGCAACATGTCAACTTAGGGAAGTAAATTTGGATTTTGAGAAGATGGGCCACAAAGCCACGCAAGCATCACAGAAATATATATAAACACACCAAACAATCTCAAAAAACCCAATAAAATAAAATAAAAATCACAAACTGCGAGCATCTTCCTCTGGTTTTCTAGTGTCAGAGCCAGGCAGTTCTCCCTGGAATTAAAGGCGGGGAAAACTGAAAAAGAAAGTGTGTTTTTTACAATGTATGTGAACAACCTACAAACTCCTTGTTTACAGGAACCTCTGCAGTAAACAGTTTCACAAAACTGAAAAGGTAACTTCTAATTAAGGGTAGTTTCCATATCAGCATAAATGTAACAATACAAATAGCTCATGTATCGATATTAAACCACGTATTTCAAAGCCTAAAACCTGGTCTGATTAGGCTCAAGGACCTCTGAGCTCAAGACGAGATGCATAAGGAAGATGGATGATCCTCTGACTGCTGTTCTGAAGTCGCTGCTCCCTCCTTGGAAGGCCCCGTGTGTTAGTGGTGAGGCCAGGAGACCGAATTAAATGGACTTTAGCTTTTCCACCACAGCAGCCAGTGCCAACATTCCAGCTCCCAAGAATGCGTGTGAACTACCGCCGGCTTCACACGCACACGCGCTGCCACTTCACCAGAAAAACCTAACTCAGTAATGTGCAAAATTACCCGAGTTCTATTGAACACAGCACCTTATAAAAAGTAAAATCTACTCTTCTGGAAACTGTATGAAGGACTGTTCGTTCCTTAGTGTAAGCACCAAGAACTACAACAGTCCGCACACCAGCACTGACAATTTAAATTGTGCCCCACACAAGTTGTTTTTATTTTGTATAAAACAATTCAAACGCTTTTCAACACAAATTAAATATCAAAGTATACTCGTGAAGGAGCTATTTTTGCACTGAGATTATTTTATTTTGACTAATTTTTCCACCTAAAAAAAAATGTATGTCCAATTTAATCATATTTTTCTCGAGGCAGGTATGTGGTAAACCCATTTTGAAAACTGCAGTAACTTGGATTTCTAGAGAAAGGTAAATAATAAATGATCTAACTGCTTATGAGCTATCACTACTCGTGTGTATTTATACAGAGGGTAAGATATTCCTAAAAAGAAAGTGGAAATAAGATTTCCAGTTATACTGAACACAGAAGAAAGCCAAGTATGAGGGCAAAATGAGCATTTTGTGTCCACTGCTTCTTAAAGAATGCAACAGCACAACCAAAACAGGGCACTGCATCAACGGGTGACAAGAACATACCAAAAAATGGGTGCGTGGATTCTGACCAGAGTACCTGTGACAATCATCCTCAAAGGGACACAGATAATTGCAAGGATTACCAGCACTCCCAGTAGAATGTACCTGCTGCTGTACAAATGAACTTTCAGAGAGTTGCTTTGTGTGGCACGAGACCACACTAACGCTCAAACAAGCTTTGTCTCCTTAAGTGCGACCCTACCAGCAGGGAAAGGAAAGCTTAAATCAGCTGCAGTGAATCACTGCTGTAGGTTTTATCGCAGGATCTGTGACACTCGAGCTGTTTCTGAGCCACTCACCTTGACTATCTTCTTTTGAGCGATACTACCTGCTTGAGTGAGTTCTAGTAGAGCCTCTCAGCTCAGTCTCCAGGGTTACTTCAGCAGAAGTTAAGTCAGAAAGTGAATGTTAAGGAAAAAAAACCACCACACAGAATATTCTAAAGTATGTAATTTGCAAATTTGGGACTGTGGCATTGCAATAGTCCAATCTGGCAGTTAAATATTTGGATCAAACATGAATCTCTTATGGGAGGAGAAACACACTTGTCTTTTGAAAAGAAACAAATGCATTTTCAGCATCTTTTCCAAACAAGTTTCAAGTAAAACATGAGGAGTCACAGGTGACCTCCTGCCCTTGGGACAAGCAACATGCTTTAGTTAACCAGTGCAACTAGTTAATTCCTTCAGTTTTGCCTTTTCTAGCAACATTATCTTGATCTTATTTGGGATTTTGGCTTTTTTTATTATTATTTTTACCCAGGCACTTATCTCAGATATGGAATACCTTTTATAAATATGTAATGTCCATATATATTATTGAGATTGTTTACTTTTCTTGCAAAAAAAATCAACACAGCATATACCATTTATCTACTCCCAGCATTTTATTTCAAGTCTCCTAAGAAAAACTCTCCTGGTGTGTTCAAGGCTATCTTGAAAAAGGAAATTTAAATAGAATTGATGCATTTCTTTCCATTTAGCCAGGTGTTCAGAGTGAGATACTGTGGCTAATGACTGCCAGCTAAACATTTTTAAGGCAAACCTTTCCCCGGATCTTGCCTGCCAGAGTTTACTCTGAACAGGGGACTAAGTAACAAGAGATAGCTACAATCAGACAACGAGCCTACCAAAATGTCATGGGCAAGCTTTTGAGATACTGGAACAGTTGGTAGCTCCCTAAGAAAAAAAAATAATTTAAAAAAAAATAAGAACAAAAGTGGATGCTGCTGTCAATAATCCACAGAAGAATCCTGTCAGAGCAAAATCTGATTTTGCATTCACTTAAAATTCATTTTTTAATAAAATACCACAAAAAAATGAAGACATATTAAGTCTATTTCTTTTATGGGCACTGTCTGGAAAATGCTTTAGAGTTATCTGCTCATTTCTACCATGCACACACATCACTGCTGGAGCATTCCTAACAGTGTTGCTATACAGTGTCAAAAATAAAGACTCTCCTCAGCAACACGAGTTGGTAACTCACCAGATGGTACCTGCGGTCTTCTGATTTGCAGTCTCGTGTTTGATATTATCACTGGGATTGAAAGATCAGTGAAACTCCTTCATCACTGAGTGTTACTGCTTTAAATTTGACATTACATACTGTGCACAAGGCAGCATGGCAATTGTTGTGTCAATTTGATGACTCAAAACTGAAGGTCTTAAAAATGTCTCTGAGCCAGCACCGTGAATGCAATACTGCTTTAAAGAGATTCAAGAGATGCTAATGCAAATAATCTTCTTGTAATGAGTTCTTGTCTCAAAGCTCACAACAGATTATAATTTCAAGTGCTATCGTTGCTCTTAGAGTATTCAAGAGGACTCTCTAGATTCTGGAGATACACTATTAAGAGTAAATAATTAGACAGACTCAAGTTTAATCAATCTAGGAGAAAAGAGACTGGCTCAGCCTGACCCACTTTTCAGTTCTGCTGCCGATAGCCAAAAATCCTGCCTGGCCTTCCACTCAAAATGAGAGCATTTATTTAATTTTAATCTCAGAGCCCTCATCTCTTACATCAGACTGACAAGTAACAGCATAATTGTATTACCACCATCTTCATTGTTGTCCTCCCTTCCTTCATGTGCCTCCCCAACTCAACTGACTCGTGTTCCCAGCAGGGTAACAGACCCCTCAGAAGGACAGACTGTCTTTCTGACTGCACAACACCCCCGTGTTATTAGGGCCTGAGTTGGGCTGTTAAAGCGCTTTCACAGTAACAGCCACAACTGCAGTGCTTTAAAAAAAAAAGATATTTTTTCTTTGCATTTCATTTCACTTGGAAGTTTGCTGGAAATATCAAAATACTCTTACCCAGTGTTTCCTTTTGTAGTTCACGGCACCTGCTTTGTAGCTCACTCCCTTGCTGAAGTGAAGTTTGAAGCTGTTGAGTTTTCAGCTCAACCGTGTCGGCCACCAGCGTCAGATGTTTTACCTTTTCCTGTAGGCACTCATTCTCTCTCTGGGATTTTGCTAATCTTTGATTCAATTTGGGTATTTCTGAGGAGAAAAATCATACAGACTGTTGTCAAGTTTGCCTTCATGACTAATAAGTATTACACTTCATTTACAACCTCAAGACTTCAGCTTTCTGTAACCCCAGCTTGGGTAGGATCAGCGCAAGCCAAGTGCATTAGTAACACACCTGATGAGCTGGTAGAGGGTCAGAAGAAGTGCTTTGTGCAACACCTCTTTACACAGGTAACTTGCACTTAGCCAAACACATATTATTGACAAGCAATACAAATTTTATTCTAAGCAATCATATGTATTTCCTCCAAGATCTCAAAATCTAATTAAAACACATGTACCTATTCTGAATGAAATAACAATAGGTGACAAAATATTTGAATCCAAGCTTTTTATCTTAAGAAGGTACACAAGCCATGGTTGAAATACTAAAACAATTGCAGACCCACTTGGAAATTAATTTGAGAAGATATCAAAGGGGTTAGCTCAGTCTGGGGTTCAGAAGATGTTTGGACATGTGTATTACATTTTATTTTCTCACTCCTTAGATGACTGTTGCTGTTAGAGTAATGACAAAGTGCATCTTCATTACACAACGACAGGATTTGTCACCCTGTCTCCCATCAGCTCTTCAACACGGAAGAGCAGCAGTCCCAAGGAAGTTTCCCAGGCAGTTTTTACTGCAAGGTAAATAAGTCAATCATGGGTGGGGTGTAGTGGGTCTCCTGCATTTTCATCATTTTTCCCCAAGTTCAGTTATCCTTGATGAGAGCATTTAAACATTTCCAAAAGTCATTGCAATTCTTTTCTATGCCTTCTCCAACCACAGCCTTCAATGCTCAGCTGTCCACAGAACTTACATCGCTTTTACTTACATTAATAATAACGATGTTGAAGTTAGATGAAGCCTAATTCTATCGTCAAGTCAGCCATCACATAAATTTTACATGCTGCCCACGTGGAAATTTTAAATTCTTTCTGTGGTGCAATGATTTTATGACTTACAATCTTTCACAACCACTCTACACTTAAATCAATTTATTGTTAGACTAAATGATGTAAATACCAAAAGGTTTTAAGTTCTTACATTTCTTTCTACTTGCCATTAATTAACCAAGGCTAAATAAAACATACACAAAGGCTTTTTCAAGCTGTTTTCAAACTAACCAAGGAAATTGACCTAGGCATGAAGAGTAGCACTTCACAGAACATTTTTCTTCTCAAGATCTGAATGGAAAACAAGTTCTGAAAACCTTGTTGCAAACACAATGAGGTAAAATAAAAAAAAAAACCAAAAACAACCCCCCCCATATGTTGCCATATGTTAATAATGAACAATTCATAAAACAGAACATCAAAGCTTTTGAGTGGCACTCACAGGCCACAAATATATATATATATATATATATGCATGACTAAATTATTTTGATTTAGAAAGCTAGATTTAAGGATGGATATAATATTCAGTGTGGTACTATTCCCAGTGAGGTATGTTGAATGCAGCCAGGGATACGTAGCATGTATAATGGTATATACAATCATCAAAAAATGATTCAGCTTCAGCTTCCATACAGATATTATATATATTTGCACTATTACAACACATAAAACAAGGGCTACTCAACAAAAGAAGCCTTAAAATGTTACGAATCCCTTTGAACCTGAAGATGTTTGCAGAAACACATGTTCATATTCCCTTTATTAGCTAGAATTAGGCAGAGAATGAGCACAGGAAGAGAGGAATCCTCCGGGACGTACAATACTTTCTGTGCTCACTCTAATTAGGAGATGAAGTCATGAATCAAAATGCACGATGTTGACACTGACATTTAAATTAATTGTCCTGACAAAAACTGAATACTAAAGAGTGATCTTCTGGCCACACTCATCTCCAGCAGGCAAGAGCTCTCCTCCCTGCTGTGCCCTGCAGCCCTGGCTCAGGACATCCCAAGCTCCCTGTCCGGACCCAGGAGCTGTCCCAGCGGGATGCGTGCCTGCTCATTGCTGCAGCACAGCTGCCCCACTTATTTCTTCCCAGTCTGAACAAAGCAATCATTGAAAACATTAAAAATTACTTCTGATTATACAGGAAGAACAGGCTACCACAGAGCTATTATTTAAAATGAAGCTACATATTTTTGAAGATACTCTGTGCACACAGGTTTCACGTAAGCTGTGGATTTGCACTGGAGTCCACATGGTTTTACCAGCAGAGTGGTCTGGGAGATGCACACTGCCCACCATGGCCTTATATTCATAGAATCATAGGATGGTTTGGGTTGGAAGGGACCTTAAAGCTCATCCAGTTCCAACCCCCCTGCCAGCAGCAGGGACACCTTCCACTAGACCAGGTTGCTCAAAGCCTCATCCAGCCTGGCCGAGAACACTTCCAGGGAGGAGCAGACACAACTTCCTTGGGCAACCTGGGACAGTGTCTGACCACCCTCACAGTGAAGAACTTCTTCCTAATATCTCATCTAAACCTCCCCTCTTTCAGTTTAAACCCATTTCCCCTTGTTTTGTCATTAACTGCCCTTATGAAAAGTCCTTCCCCAGCCTTCCTGGAGCCCCTTCAGGTACTGGGAGGCCACTATAAGATCTCCCCGGAGCCTTCTCTTCTCCAGGCTGAACAGCCCCAACTCTCTCAGCCTGTCTTCATAGGAGAGGTGCTCCAGCCCTCGGATCATCCTGGTGGCCAGAAAGCATGACATAAGCTCACTCACTTCTTTGGTACCTTATAACCCTGATAAAACTAACTTCCAGAGCAAAGAACAGCTCATCAATTCACTGAAAAACTATCAGGCAAGGAATACACAGATGAAAATTATATCTAAAGACCATTAAAGTTGCAAGAGTCAACACAGGGGCTGTGTGGATGCTCTGGCTGGTGTAGCCTGGAATTACACTGCTGCACACTTTTTTCAGCAAAACTAATCTCTTCACTGAGGCAGAGTAAAAATGGTATTAAAGGATAAATCTGAGTTATCAAGTCCGACCGCCAGCCCGAGGGCTGGGCACGACCTTGGTGAACAAGCCAGCGGTTGTGACTTGCTCCCAGCTTCCCTTTTCCTGAAGGCTGCCCTTGTTTGAGCAGGAAGCAGGCTGGGTGCCAAGCGAATTATTCTCAGCCCATGGGCTGCTCCATGCCCCTTTCAATCCCAAAGACCCCTCAGATAAAGACAGCTGTCTTTGGGTATTACTTGTTCTTATTCAGGAATGGAAGGAGGGAGTAGTTGCTACATGTCAGGCACAAGTTTGCTCATATGCAGCGGCTCCTGTACTCAAGGCAACCTGATGTGTACACCAGGGGGTTGCTCAAGAGAAGAGGTGTAGAAGACAGTGTCTTCTGCTACTTTGGATCTGGACAAATTAATGCCAGAATTAGAAATTATCACATTAATTTTACCTTTTCATTTACTATGTTAGACTCAACTATCAAAAAATATTTTATCTTGCCCAAAATAAGATTTTGGGATTTGAAATAAGGTTTTGGAAGGGGTTGCCCAGGGCAGTGGTGGAGTCCCCATCCCTGGAGGGATTGAAGAGTCGTGTAGACACAGTGCTGAGGGACATGGGTTAGTCATAGGGGACTTGTCAGTGTTGGGTTCATGGTTGGACTCAATGAACTTAAAGGGCTTTTCCAATCCAGGCAGTTCTGGGATTCTGTGAAAATTATTGCAAGGTGATGATTTACCTGACAAAGCTTCTTTGCTCACAGTTTTTATTTGTAGAAAAATTTCTTCTTTCAGGGCAGCCCAGTTCTCGAGATTACTGGAGATGACTTCTTTAATACTGTCTAGTTCACTTCTAATGAAAGGAAACAGTGAGACAGCCTTGTTCAGAGTCGAGCAATGGTGTTCCAATGTGTTTCTGCAAGACACAAAAATAACACCAGACATATGACAAAATACTATATGTAAACTTGGTAACTAAAGTAAACTTGACAACCGCTTTTCTGTTATACAATAATCTATAGTATATTGGGTTGCAGTAATTCAGTGTACAAAATATGTTGTACATTGAATATATTTATAAGAAATTTCTCCCTTCTAAACATTGATTTAGAATGTATATATACAAATTAAGAAAACTGTACAGACAACTGTACAATCCCTTTTTACTGAGAAATCGGAGCAATAATGTTTCAGTGATTACATGTTCAAGCTTCAGCTGACTCTTTATAAACAATCTATGTAAGACACATTATATTTCTGCTGCATTAAAAGTGGTACACCCTTACTTTTAAGAGTCAATTAATGTTTTTAAATTTGTGAAGAACTCATCCTGTTGCTAATAATGTCAGCAATCAGCAATGATATTTTTCACTTACATTTTCTAAATCTACAGCATCTCACTGTATTCTGGAAGAGCAAGAAACACTAGGATGGTTACAAACACTCTTCTCACCCATATTCTCCCTGCTTTGTGCCTGCATCTCCACTGAGTCCTTTCCACTGACTGCCTGTGTTCTCAGGAGGCACAACATCAGCATTTCTTTTGGGGTTCTTACCTGAGCACTTGTGATTGCTTATAGACAGCTTCCTTTTCCTCTTGAAAATACCTCAAATCTTCTTTCACGTTTTTAAATTCATCCTGCTTGTTTTTCAGTTCCACTGTTAGGTTTTTTATTCTACAGATGTAAATAAAATAACCAGAGAGTATTGTTTGCACTCCTAACCAACCTCTAACTTTTGTTACAGCTTTAAATTAAAAACATTTCTGCAAAAGCTCTGGTTCCCAGGTGGCTTTCAAGGTTAACCACAGGTACAAATAGCAACACTTGAACCTAAAAGGAATATAAAAAAAATGAAACAGTCTCCAACTTACAAGAAAAAGATTAAATCTCTTGGTCTACCAGAGATTCAAAAAGTGTATTTGGCTTCTGATAAAAATTTACAGTTTGAGAAGAATGATCTGTCAGCCTTGCAGGAACCAGAAGATGGCAGGTTGAATAGTTAGTTTATGCCAACAGCAGAAGGTAACAAGAGACCCAGTAGAGTAAGGAGGAGATAAGGAATATTTAGACAGGTTACTTAACAAGGCACAAGACTTGATTTACAGCCTGAATGAAAGCCTACTGAAAGTATTCCATTTGATTTCAGCAGGTTTTAAATCAAGTCGAGCCTTAGGGGGCAAAAAAATGCAGAGATAAAATTTTTATTAACTGTTCCAGCTACAAAAAGTCTGCTAAATGAAAATTTGAAGTTTACCTCTGGCAAATGATCTTCAACAAAAAGAATGTACTGTCCCTGAGTTTGCTAATTTACTGATTAGCACTGCCACCAAAACTGGCACCCAGAGCCATTAAAGGAACAAGGAGCAAACGCACTCTTCAAAAACATGATGTTAAACCAAAGAAAACACTGAATATTGGGGGAAGCAGAGGATGATCAGTTCAAAAGAAAAAAAAATATTGCAAGAAACAATATGAGTAGAGTGATCTACAAGACACATGGATTTTGTTCAACTTTGTGTGAACTTTTGTGTTTTAAAATCAATCTTTTATTAGTAATATTGCCAAACACAAGCCTAAGGAAATCCATTAATAGTAACATTAAATTCTTAATAGTATTTGAGTGATTCACAGAAAAAAAAAAGAGGAAAAAAAAAAAAAAAGAAAAAAGGTAAATGGATTTGAGTGCTTCACCTACAGACCAGCTGTAGCTGTTTCTTCTGTAGTGTTTCCAGTCCAATCTCTGGAGAGCACCTTAATACTCAAAATGCCCTGTGTTATCAGTTCTAGATCACTTGCTAGTAGGTATGAGTCAGTCATGCCAGGAACACCCCTATTGGGGGCCTTCAGAATCAAAATGACTGAGCTGATAATTAAAATTATATCTCATTCTTACTAAAAGCTTCTGACAAACTGTTTGATTCAGACGAGCAAGAAATTAGGAAGAAGTTTCCAATGCTCTTGTTTGCATCACATTATCAGTAGTCAACTTTAGCAATTGCATTTTTATAAAGTGCCTTTTATTAGCCAACTATAAATATCAATGTTTATAGTCCTACTGTACACAATCAGTGGAATATAACAATAGATGCCAAAATATGAGGATAGAAAATTAGGATATAGAAAACCAGCACATAGTATCCATGTTAAATCTATGTCTTCTACTATGAAAAGTAGAAGATGAGGAAAAAATGGAAGGGCAGTTCTTCAGAACTTCAGGTCTGGAAGAAACCAAAAATACTTGTATTTCTTCCACAGAACAGTGCAGAAAAGGTATAATTTGTTATTATGAAATCTGTTATATTGCCATGATATTGTAAAACAGCATAAAAAGCAACAGAAGGTTAATTAGGAACCAGAAATATCAGTCCAAAAGTCCTACAGCAAAAATAAGACCAAAAAAACCACCCATAATGCTAATTACGTAATAAAACGATCATATTGACTACAACAATTTGCCTCTCAGTCCAAGTTCTTTACACATTATAAATAACTGCTGAGAATGGACAAATCAAAGATAACAATTGGGGCCTACAAGAAAGCTGGGGAAGGACTTTTCATAAGGGCAGTTAATGACAGAACAAGGGGAAATGGGTTTAAACTGAAAGAGGGGAGGTTTAGATGAGATATTAGGAAGAAGTTCTTCACTGTGAGGGTGGTCAGACACTGGAACAGGTTGCCCAAGAAGTTGTGGACGCCCCCTCCCTGGAAGTGTTGAAGGCCAGGCTGGATGAGGCTTTGAGCAACCTGGTCTAGTGGAAGGTGTCCCTGCTGCTGGCAGGGGGGTTGGAACTGGATGACCTTTAAGGTCCCTTCCAATCCAAACTATTCTATGATTCTAACAAGCTAGCTTGAAGTTCATGGTTGAGAACCTGATGGCACTCCCATAATGGTGGCACAAAACCTAACAGAGGTGGCCAGCAGGTCCTGCAGCCACCGCTGCGGTCTGGACTGCCTCAGTAATGCCACTTCCACGACGTGAATCAGCCATGGCTTTTAAAGCTAGTTTGGGTATGGCTACCTTTGTGCTCTGTACTGCAAACCCAAAGAAGACTAAAATATTAGAAATTATGAAAGAAGGAAGGGCAGAGAGAAAAAAAAAAGTCTTTGAAACTTTCCTTTTATGCTTTATTTTCTCATGTCTACCCCAAAATTAATGTTTGTATTTGGTGGAGCAATCTGAAGGTTTAGGAACCAAAGCTGTGCTGTAGATCCATCAAAAGGACAAACGTTTTAAGTTCTATGTTAAAAGTTACCATGATGTGAGATAAAGAAGTAGAACATAGCAAAAGCCTCTGAGTATGAGCTGAAAGAGAAGACAAAAGTTCTTAAAATTGTGCCTTAAAAATCTAAATGTGTCTCTGAGGTCTGTTGTTAACTCCTGGAGTTCCTAAAGAGCACAAAACTCCCCCTTTAACTGGGACCTTCACATACCAGTCAGTAAGAATCCGCAAAAACTCCTGTTTCTGAGGAACAGCAGTACCCAAGATGTTCATAATTGCTTTAGGATTCTGTGTCACCCCTTCAGAGAGCAAACTGTAAGCTGCTCAGGGTAAGAACACTGGTAACTCTTTATCATGTTACTATGAAACAGTAAGTAAAAATTTCAGATCTCTGAAACTCCCAATGCAGTGGAATTTCATTTAAAATATGACAATTTTATTACAAAATGGTAAGACTAAATATTTGATCATTTCCCTTTGGGAGTGTGTACAGGGGAAATAGGTCTGGAATGCTTTCTAGCCTTTCTTTCACTTTTAATATATTGAGTGTTTCTAAACTATTAAGAAATTTAAAAGTTGCTTCCAGACAATATTATTACGAAAGATGTTTTAAATTAAGTATTACAATACTTCTGTTACATCTGACAAAAGAAAGAGAAATCTTGTATTTTAAACTTCTTTGGAATGAAATTACCTAATCCACATCCATGAGAATAACATCAGACTAGACAATGTGCTCTGACCTTTCTGTTTTTGATTCACTGTCAGCTCGATAGTGTTCAAGGTCTTGGTAAAGAGACTGTAACTCTGCTTGAAGTCCTTTCTCCCGCTCTATACTTCCTTCATAAAATTTAATCTCCTTTTCCATTGCTCTTACTTTTTCTTCCATCACCTTAAATTCATGAAGTATCAAATAGCTGACTCCACAGTATTTACACACTGTCTCATCCCGGGACATCTAGAAAAAAGATCAAATTGTAAGATTATAAGAAACAAGTTGAACAAAAAAATCCCTGAATGACACTAAATAATAATAATAATAATAATAATAATAATAGTTTACACCGTTTACTGCTCTGTGGTATTTGTGATCAGATGATGTTATTGCTTTAACAAATAATAAAGACAAAATTCTACATTAGCAAAATGAAATCAAGCTATAGCAGTACTTTTGCTGACTGGAAACTTCACAAGATATATCAGCCACGTAATTTACTCCATGGGAACTCCCACTGGAATTCTATCTTGAAGAAGCTCTGAATTCTGTTTGATGTATTAATTTAAAATTAAAAGCTGTGTTTTACCAAGCTTTCTCCTTAATGAATTTGCGATTGCCTGAGCCAGAAAAATGTTATTTACTGGGGGTTTTTTCACAATTCGTATTCAATTGAAGTAGGCAAGATGAAAAGTGGGAAGTGAACAGAATGATGTAATCCAGCAAGCTTTACTAAAATAATTCAAATGACTAAAGGACTAATTAGGATGATGTAGTGTCCATGGCGCCTGGGTGTTGTGGAAAATGTAACCCATTCACAAGGTATGAAGTATTTATCACTGATTTTAAAAATACAGAGGACATAATACACATCTAATTGAAAGGCTATTTCTTAAATTGAGAAACATACTCTGGTAAGTGACCAAATTATTAAGCTTTGCAGTAAGCAAGGCACCATAAATCTGAACAGACAGATGTGCTCTGACTTTGACATGAACTTATTACTCAATATATCACTTATTTCTGTGTATTTTAATCGTTTTCACTTCCAGAAAATAATGCTCAGTTTACAAGTGATGCAGAACTGAACCTGCACAAGGAATGGATGTTGAGTAAATAAATCAGCCAGACCGACCCAGGAAGGTCTGACACTTCAGTGGGGACACGCGAGCATCTGCTCACCAGCACGGATCCCAGATCCCTGAACATCACAGGCTGGACCTGTTTTAACACAATTATGAAATCAGAAAGCTGGAAAACTGCAAACAGTTTAAGTCAAAGAATGCAAGAAGCTCTTGTTTTATAGAAAAAGAAAAAAGGGCATGCAGAAATATTGGGATAAACTGAAAGAAATCATTCCTAGAGGAAAGAAAACAGCTTTCAAAAATTATAAACTCAAGACTCATTATCTCACAATTCCATAATCTCTAAATTAGACATACTTTAAATATAGCTTGATAAAAATGATATTTCAGAGTGCCCTGGAATTATCAGGCCAGGCTTTATTTTCCAATTCCTTAGTTTTGCCCCAGTTTAAAATACTCCTAGTTACAGTTGCTCTGAATGAGCTGAAAATGCAAGTTTATTTTTCCTGGCAGCTGCAAACTGTGCTTGGAAATATGAAACTGTTATTCAGGATAACTACCATAAAGTTCCAAAGCACTAAAATTACTATATTGAAAAAAAAAAGGACAAAATGAGCTGTTGTAAGGAGCACAGGAGAGGGGTTCTTATCCCAAAAAGAACATTGTGCTCTCTCACAGCACCACCACTGCCGGCTTTCAAACAAACAGCTAGGGAAATTTCACCGGGTACCAGGATTAAAAACAAAACAAAGCAGTTGGGGTCCTGAACTGAAATGTTTTATGCCAGTACGAAAACTTCTTTGTTTTCAAATTCAGTTCTGTTACTGAACTTAAAAATAAATTAAGTCATAGAACAATAATAAGACTTGGTGGGAAGTGGGTCCTGTTCTTCTGCACGTCCATTCCGCGGGCGAAGTAAAATCCTGAAAGGACTTCAGATCAGGTTGGATTTTTAACGTATTTGCTACATAGTCAAAAAAAAAAAATCCCAGGAAAGCTCAAGTAAGCAAAGTTCTGCCTTTTAATCAGAACCTCGCCTCTGTACATGCACAGTTATCCTGCAGCCACTGCAAGACAGCGTCTATAGGTTGAACTGGTTTTAAAATCTCTGTAGGATAAGTAGCAGCTTCCCAACCCCAGCTATGAATCTGGCCCGGGCTGGGCGATGCTCACAGGCAAACCAGCCTAAACTAAATTCACACTGCAGCAGATTAACACCAACAAGCAAACTAATTAATTTAATCCAGCACAGGTATGCTCAATAGGCCTAGAAAATTAACAGGACCTGCTTGAAAGTGAATAGCTCCAAGAAGCAAGGCTTGAACTGGGCCCTTGAGCAAGGGGCACGGCCATCCGAATTCTCACCCTAAATCCAAGACTCCTCTCTCATGCCCACAGTGGTCAAATCATAAGCAGAGCTTTCTCGTTTTTCTTTCTTTTTTTTTTTCCTTCCCCCTCTCTCTCTTGCATTGTCAACATCACAACCTGAGTTCTCCTCACTGATACTCAAAACATCTCCTGAAATTCCAGAGGTGCTTGGACATTTTTTTGAGAAGCTACTGAAGCTTCTTCACACAGCCAGATACAGAGAAATGCTGTCAAGCTGTAGATGCTGATTCCATTCAGCCACAATAATGACAAAGCTATCTTAGTGCTACACCCATTTAAAGGTCAGAGCTGCAAAGTATTTTATGGCTTTGAAGATTACTTACAAACAACATGTTTTTGGGTTTTGCACAGTTTCCAAGAGAAATAACATTACTTTGTCTATGTCTGTATTTCTCTATTGTCACCCTTCAATAATTTGTGAACTCAAATGTTTGGTCATTTATAACCAATTCTGATGCTGAGGGTAGAAATGTTTAAGTGTCTAGAAGTTTTAGACAACCTGGCAGGCAATAAAGACTTCATAAATTCCCTGAGAAAGAAAACTCTGGAGTGTGAACACAGTCCTTATCAGATATCAGATAATCCATAGAGGAGAGAGCCTTAGAAATGGTCTGTCCAGGAGAAAAGATGCCATTAGACCTTGTATCTTAGACACCCAAGTTGATCAACCAGTACACAAAAGTCTGCAGGAAACAAATGCTCATTAGTTCTTACTAATGAAAGCTGGGGAGGGACTTTTCATAAGGGCAGGGAGTGACAGAACAAGGGGAAATGGGTTTAAGCTGAAAGAGGGGAGGTTTAGATTAGATATTAGGAAGAAGTTCTTCACTGTGAGGGTGGTCAGACACTGGAACAGGTTGCCCAAGGAAGTTGTGGATGGCCCCTCCCTGGAAGGCCAGGTTGGATGAGGCTTTGAGCAACCTGGTCTAGTGGAAGGTGTCCCTGCTGATGGCAGGGGGGTTGGGACTGGATGAGCTTGAAGGTCCCTTCCAATCCAAACCAGTCTGTGATTCCATGATTCTTACGCTTACAAAGCTACCTTTTGTGGAATAATGTTATCACTGAGTAACTCATAAGAATGTGTAATACATAGACAGTGATTTACATTTTCAGATGCCCTGTTTCACTCTCTACATTTGATCACAAGACTGTTGTCATGTTCCCAAATGCAAAGCAGAAAAAAAAAAAAATCAGGGGAAAAACAGAGTTTGGAAAGAATAGAAAAGGAAACTATCAGAGCTCTAGCTAGAGAGGGGACTGTGTGCATCCTTTGCAGTGAGAATAAGCAGTGAAGAGAAAAAAAAAATAGGAATATATTTTTTTTAACAAAGCTAACACAAGGGAATTTTAGTATTGTATTTTTTGGTCAGCCTGGACAGGGAAACTCAAGGCAAATGGAACTTGAAAAGGTAACAGAGGCAAACTAAAAAAACCCCTTGCTATTTGAGCTCGCACGACAGCACTGCGTGCACGATAACATCAAAACAAACTCACTGAGAACTGAGTGCTTGAACTAGGACAATACCTGACCCATAAGATTTTGAGCTACAGTTCTGCTGCACCTGACACCAGATGCTATAAAGAAAGGACAAGAGCTA